ACATGATATCGCTGTACATTTCAATTGAGTTAGCACAGTCATGCATCCATTGTTATCATACCAGCATGATGGCCTGGGATTGAAAAAGTAGAATCAAGTGATGCTCCAGCTGTACAGCCCCTGCTGAGTGAAAGCGACTGCCCTGTTTCTGTCAAATGTTAGAGCTCAGCTGTCGTCTGGGAGTAGATCACCTCACGAACACTCCCCAATCCTCCGCTATCCTCCCTGCCATACTCTGCACTGGGTGCTTTTGTTGAGCTATCTCCTCATGGTAGCACAGGCTGCAGATTATTTTGTCGGAGTAGCCTTTTTGAGAGGCCTTCAACAAGTTTTGCTTCTGTCAAATGCGACATACTTCCTGTGACAGCATGAAGAAGATGCAACACCTGACCAAAAATGCACATATTATGTTTATGCATTAATAACTAAGACTTGTATATGAAGTGCTGTGGCAAGGCTTAACATATTAGGTTCAAATAATGAATTGACCCAAGTGGCTTTAGAATGCACACAGTTACAGGCGTCCACAGCTGAGAAGAAGGCCACAGCGTGTGGCTGCCCAGATCAGATCGGGTTGCTGTTATTATTCGTCGTGATGAGAATGGTCGAACACAGTTTGCCCCTCTTCTTTGTTCCACCTGTCATTTTCTCAACTGTCACTCTGCCAGTTGGTTTCTGTTCCTCCGATTCATTACCTGACACACGATTGGCCTTAGACAGAGTTGGACTTCACATTTCTCTCTGCCCTAAATGCTTTGACAGTTGAATCTCCTGGTGACCTTGGACCTAAAGTTCTATACACAGCTAACATGCAGTCAAATGGAGGTCCGTTCAGAGTTTGAGCCCAGTCCAGCACTCAGTGTTACCTTGGGGCTGTTGCTTCATGGATAAACCCTTCTAGGAAGAATTTTTAGTACTTGGCTTTACACTGTTGACCTGTTAACGCTCACTTGAGATCACAGACCAAGGCAAGCTTTACAATCCACCAGTGGCTAATTGACAGGAGTCTGATGGACTGAGCCAGCACTATCAGACTATTTCTCAACATCACTTTTTAGAAATCCTCTGATAACATCAAAGCATAACTATTTCTATCGGCTCGATAGCGCTGCTGTCTGGACCTGCAGGTTGGGAGAGGAGATGAGTGTGTCAGTGTCACAGGCGCCAACAACAGGCACTGGGTGACATGGGAGCACGAGCGCAGGATGTCTGGCTTCTCTCAGATGGGACTGAGTTGTCCACACATCAGCAGTCACCCCTCTGTGAGTACTGCTTGTCTAGGTCACCTACATTGACCTGCTGGTGGACATGACTGGATAAAGTTACTGTATGGGCAATGAAATTGAAGTATTCTTCCAGTCTGATCTCATTAATGTGGGTTTATAGTTGATTGGTTAATCTTTACTTAAACATGGAGACACGTTGAGATCAGGAGCCCAGTGAACAATTTACATAATAATAAATAACACATATGACTACATAAACAAATTACATCTACATACAGCCCTCTTTCACTTCACCAGTGGTGTTTTCACAACACTTGACTTGCACACCTCATCTGCTTTGAAAAACCACACCAGAGAACAGTCCCTTCAAAACGCTCAATTAAAGCAGTAAACATCAGCTTCCCCTCAACAACCAGTCAGTAGGTGCTGAGGGCACCGACAGCAATGTCACGCCTATAATGACATGACTTTGAGATCTGTGATTTCTCTTCTGTACATCTCAGCGGCTAAAGACAAACTGTGAGAGCACACTGTTGTAATTTTGTGGTATAGATACACTTGAGTCACTCCTGGGGCCTTTATCCTCTCAAGGAGCAACAACAACCAGTTATCAGAGATCAAAGTGAAGGATAATGAAAGAAATAAGTTTGTCATGACACATATGCTGCAGGGACTGCCTGTCAGAGGTGATGCTGACAAATGATTTTTCTCTAGTGGTGTATAATTTCCTGCTACATCTGACATCGCATCAGTTATAACTAACATTGAAATTGTCCTCTGGCATCATAACCACACTTTTTGGAACCTGGTAAATGGTCTTATACTTGTATAGGACAGAGCACTTACTTGTACTGAAGCACACTCAAAGTGGTTTCAATACTATTTGCTCATTCACACTTTGATATGTGGACTGGTGAAGCTGGAAATCGGCCCACTCTACCTCCTGAACCACAGCACCTGTTTTTGAATTGATTGCATTTAATTTATACTATAGTGAATCAGTAAAGGTCTTAGGCTGACAGTACTGAGATGAATGTACTACTAATGTACTAGTACTAAGGGGATAAGGCAGGATGCATAAACAGGATGCTTTACTCACGTCCAAGATGTTTGTTATAGTGTTAAGTGGAGTATGCAGATATTCAGTGAAGAGTTTCCATGGTCTCAGTGCAGCAAATGTCCCATCTTACGTAACTATGTTGTTGACATTGTAGATATTATGCAAACTGTAGGGTTAAAACAGAAATTGAAAAGTCTGTAGCATTACATATTCAAAACCTGGTGTTGAAATGTCAGAAAAAATAAAAAAAACTTAATATGAAACAACCTTTTGAAACTAGGCACAGCTTCTTGATGTTTGTGCTGCAAGTACTAACACAGTGTCTAAAGCTCACTAGTGGATTACACAGAGGCTCAGAGACATACACACACTCATACACACACTACACTCTCATTACAGTCAGAGCTGGATGTGGCCCACATGGCTCACTTTGTGCTGCCAGTCACCCTAAGTTCGGCCTTCCCCGCCGAACATCAGCTTATGCATCACTTTAGTCCAAGCTCTTCTGATATCAGCACATTGAAGCCTCTGACCAGCAACTTCCTGACACTGATGCAGTTGGTGTTCCACCACTCCTATGACTCAGTAGAACCACAGTGATTTCCCAAAACAATTCTTTAACATTAAGGATAAACATCAGCTGAGCTGCTTGTCCTCTCTGTGTCGTAAGCTCTGTGTGCTGGTTCTTAATCACATCTCATTTGCTGCATTTGCAGGCATTAAATTATTTAAATCTGTCTACATTCAGTATCAGAGACAGGAAGAATGGTTCTGAAATGAATAAATAGGGGTAGCTTGACTTTACACAGTGGCTCATGGTCACATTTATCAGTGTTTTGGATCATGATTCTACTTGAACAGCTTGTTATTCAGGATGTCAACTTTAGGTTCAGTAGGTGAGTGGTATGAAATCAAGCACAAGCAGCATTGTTTTCTTTCATATGTCTTCAAACATAAAAATAACATCATCATCTGTAATGACACCTTAATGTGAAAAAATTGGCTGCATGCTTCATAACCAGAACTTGCATATGAAAGGGTAATAGTGCACCCCCCTCCCTGCTGAGTACACATAGGTGTGTGCCAACACTAACACATTTTGATGCCAAAATAAAAACACTTTATGCCTGGCCACCCTGTTTTCACTCCAGGTGGAGCTGGACCACCCTGGTGCTTGAGACACTTCAAGTGTTACCCATCAAATCATTGCAAGTACTTTGTGGTAAGACAGATTTTATTTTCCCTAAGCATTGCTTCCTTAGGGAAATGATAATAATAATAATTCTTTTGGAATGGAAACTGTCTATGTTACATGTGTCATGCAGTAGTTGCAGTGGTCATTCAATCTTTTGTGTTCATGTGTCAAAGGAAAGGAGGGATTCATCTGAAATGAAAACTTGTTCAATTAGCATAACTAAATGCCATTTACTGAAATGAAAAAAAAAAACCCTCTTTGAAAAATATTAATACACTACCAAACAAAGAACAATGGGTATATCATGGTCAGGAAATTTGTTTGAATGAGAAATGCATCTTAACTAAAAACCCAATGTGACACAGTGTTTTCACAGTCCTACAGGAATTACATGGCTTTATTGAAATTAAAAAACATTGCATAGTTGATAATATGATAATATTATTATATTTATATATTATTGATAATATAATACTTTGGAGGTTAAAACTGTTTGGAAAAACACAAATCAATTTTTTTTTATTTTATTTTCTTCTATTTTTGGTGTAAATTTGATAAATGGAGATCTGGAAACATTTCAGTGCCTGATCTCTTTCTTAACTCCTGTAAAATTTTATAATGATCACCATAACAACAACAAATATTCCTATGCTTTTCAGCAGTATACGGCATAAATGCCCCTGGTAGTAAAGTGTTTATGAAGTGTACAAAACTAGCATTAGTAAATTCCACAGGTTTCAGTATTTCACTGAATTTAAATGTTCTTAATCAACTGTTTGACTGTTTCTCAGCCTGACCAAAAAATATCAATACAAATTTCAACATCTCCTGAATCTTACATAACTGAACTATCTCCATCCCGAATGAGCAGCTCCTATTGCTGAGAAAGACCCAAGCTATAGTTAAATGCTTTGGAAAGAACAAGTAAACTGTATCCTGTGTTGAGATTTTGTGAAGCCATTTATATTTCGTTTAATATCCTATACTGTTCTTATAAATAACCTACTGGTTACGACTTGTTGCAGTAATATCACAGAAGCCTAAATGAAAGCCTATACAAAATAAAATAGAGCATAAATGGCACAAATACTTGATTTGATTTGATTTGATTTATTCTTTCAAGCATGTAAAACAGTTGATATGACAACACATATAATTTTACACACAATCCAATATCAATTTGCTTATACCTAGTACATGCTTGAATGGAGTAGGAAGAAGTCAGACTTATCCAGTCCTACCCCATGACATCATCTTACCATCATTGGTTTGCAAGCAGTAAATGATTCACTTCTACACACACACATATTATTAGCTACTGTATGTTGCTGTGCTTCTCTCTGAATACGTCTGAGCTAGCTATCTGTTGTGTAGTCTAGTATTTTCAAGTACTCTGTTTTATTTAGTCTGTAAGGGATTACCCTGCTCACTCTCTCCTCATTATCTGCTGATGATGACGTTATACTGCAGCTGTTGAGTTCCGGCTCTCGCGAGGTTATGGAAAACAATCCACACGCCCTCTCTCTCTTCGTCCCCCCTCCTCCCCAGCCCTCCCTTCCCACGCCCCAGTGCGCTGTGGGATAGTGGCACTATAAAGTATATCCTCTCGCGGAGAAAGATAAGAACCCCGAGACAGGACGGGGATGAAGATGGCGGACGCCAAGCAGAAGAGGAATGAGCAGTTAAAGCGATGGCTAGGCTCGGAAACGGACCAGGAGCCTCCTATACTTAAAAAGAAGAAGACGAAGGTGAAGTTCGATGATGGCGCCGTGTTTCTGGCCGCCTGCTCAAGCGGCGATACCGAAGAGGTGCTGCGAATGCTTGACCGGGGCGCTGACATCAACTACGCCAATGTAGACGGTCTCACCGCCCTTCACCAGGTTTGTGTGAGGTGTTAACGTCATTCATTGGTATTGCCAGCACCATTACAGACAAAAATCGGTTTGCTGCTAGCAACTGCTTATCCTGAAACACCTGTCAAATGGAAGCCATTCTCATCCCGTTGTTTACCTACCTAGCACACCCGTCCCTTTCGACGCAGAGTTGAGATAATGGGTTTCTCTGAGTTTGGTTATGGATTATTCAGATCCAAAACAGTACTAACGGTGCATGTAACTTTGAGAGCACAATTCACACCAAGCAAAGTTGAAAGCTTAGCTTTCAAGACTAAGGTTTCCACAATAAACTAGCCCTAGCCAATATCTACACCCCGGGGTTGCAGTCTAATTGCCGTACTACTGAATTTTAGATTGTAACGCTAACTCCAGGTCATTTATGTTCTAAATTACATTCAGGCCAAAGAATCACCAATGCTTCTAATGGTTTAGAGATGGTGTTGCTAACGCGTTTGTTGTGCTATGTTTGAGTCATGCTAAGAAGCTGTAGTGAACGTTGTCATTGATTAAGACACTCTGCCCAGGCAATATAATTCCACAGCGATGTCTACAACATGGCTAGTAGTAAAAGTCGTTTTGTTGATAAACCGCAACCGTGGCTACTCTGGAGAGGAATCGGAAGCTAGCTAGCCTTAGCTAGTTACAACGTCATTCAGTTACAGGCTTAAGTTATACTTGCAAGGCCTTAACTGTATACCACATGCACATACTAGTTACATTATTGCTAGCAATGTTTGGCACACTACTTGAAATTGGATAACTTTGTTAACAGCGGTGAATGGTTGTAGTGCAGTATGGGTCAAGCGAATGTCCTGTATGCTAACGCTCTATTAGCACGCGATGCTAGTTTTCATTAGCTATTTTGGATGTTCGGCTAAGGTTAATTCATTCGTTAGCTAGCTTCAAAAACGACGTCAACGAACCATTGGTCTCCAAATTTGACGTTTTGTGATGTTGTGTGTTTGGTTTTAACCATGAACGTGTGTGACCAAAATACTTTGCTGTTTGGATTAAATGTCAGCATCGCTAAGTTCACTATTTGCTCCCTAACCACGGTAGCTAACTACATTTACTAGCCTCTGTACTTGGAAAGCTAAATAATGAAAATGGCAGTCCGTCTTTAGTGTTTAACGTCAGGTGCTACCTTCTGTGTGAGGCTTCTTGAAACTAAACACAGCAAGTATGATGTCATTAGCTTAGTTTCATAAAACATCAGTCCAGTCATTGAATAGTTATGGTAAGTTACATAACTTGCAGATGCATAAAGTCCTGATATAATCCATTTGGATTCGGGGATACAGTAGATCCGCGTTAAAATTTATATTGCTTGACTTTGGCTGTGGAAGTACTTAATTGTACTTGACTACATTTGTATAGCGTGCACTTTTGTGCTCCAGAAGTGACCTCATAATGCTACCATGTACTGTTAAGCAAATACTACCCAGAAGATGTGTGTATATATATATATATGAGATAAATAGGATTATTATTATTGCATCTAGTGAGGTTTCTTATAAAGGTAATAAGATAAATAAGATTATTATTATTGCATCCAGTGAGGTTTCTTATAAAGGTAATAAGATTGCGTTAACGCTGTTAGCTGTTTTACATCAATATCAGAATTTAGTTTTTAGTACTACATGGAATTGTTGTATTTGTTAGGTAGTAACACTCAACATTAGAAAATTCCCTACATTTGTACCCAGGACATTACAGTCATGTCTATCGTCCTAGATTCATGTACCTTGTGCTGAAGAAATCAAACTCGTAGTTATCACTGGTATAAACAAGCATTTACACAGTTTCATTTGTTACATTAAAAGTGTTAGATAACAAACATACCGTGTTTCGATTTTAATCTAAGACTTTGACAGAAGATATCTTACATTAAGTGTTGAATGTTACCATAGATCTCCAGCAGTGTTACCTCATTACCAGTCTTGGTGTGCTTGAGTACCACTATGTGCACCATCTTGCTACACAGGTTTGTTGTCCAAGACTTTGTTACACCCACTGACCTGAAGTTTTTAAAAGCAGGTTTTCTGAGATAGGTCATTTGTTTTATCCCTAGATAATTAATTTAGCCCCGTCTCTGTTTATTAATGGTGTTGCTAAATCAACCATTCTTTGTGCTTAGTCTGCTACAATTAAATTTGGAATTAGCATGGCCCCCTGTGCAAACTCATTGGGTGGAAACGTTGCCTTTTTTTGGACTGATGTCCGGGGATGAGCTAGAGTGAGGAAAGAATTTGCACTGCCGCTTTCCAGACCTAACCATCTCGGGAGACGAGAAGCTGCTGTGAATGTCTGTGTGTGTTTTGTAGGCCAGCATGTGATCCCTGGGTTTTGGGTTCTTATAAAGGATTTCAAGAATGCTAATCCCAGAATTGCAGGTCAAGCTGATGTTCATTTCCTCAGATGAGATGAACAGTCAGAGCCACCTGATGTCTTTCTGGATGATGTGCTTCTTCTGTTGATTTTAACAAAGTCCAGAGTGTACCATGATATCATTGTGTGAGACCAACACATTTGTGCAGGTGACTTCTATAGTTGAAAATTTTTTTTTTCTTTTTGGTGCAGTAAACTGCAGTTCCCTATTCTGTTGAGTGACTGACCCCTGGCTTTGTTGTGAAGAGTGTCATGTTGTTACACAAGGGCTCACCCCTCACTGGATGCAGCAGTAACTGTCCCTTCATTGGTGACTGGTGCAGAGTTATAAATACGACCGCCACAAGTTCTCCTAAATGGGTTTCAGGAGATGCTAACTTTGGATATGACTCAGAGTCTGTAGCTCTGCTTTGTAGTGCAACTCTGGCATAATCTCACATTTATTCAAGAGGTTGTCTCTGTGTGAGTCACAGGCCTGTCACTTTAAAAATGACTTGTTGCAGACAGACCTGTAAACTTGTTCTGTTGTGGTGGTGTCTCTGCGATGTGGTTCACAGTGAAGATCATAACCAGACCAATTTTGATATAGGCAAGAACACCAGAGTGAAAATTGGGATTTTATACAGCCTTTGTAGTTTCAAAATCATGTTTACATTTTATGAGGTGAGTGATTGAGACAGATTGGTTCACCCAAACACAGATTGCTTGGATTCAGGTGGGCTGGAGAGAAGATGCACAAGTGAATGAGGGCTCCAGTAGACAAGTGGAGATTCCAGATCCTGTCGGCTAAACTCATCTCAGAGGGTGGCATTCTGAGTCCTGTCGTCCTGGCCCGTGCATTCCTCACATGGCAGTCGCTGGAAACCATGGCAAAGAGAGAGCACAGCAGACATTCCTCAGCTGTCACCTAAACCCCTCCCCTGTAGGCATTCTCTCTCTGGCTTGCCTCTCCCCATACAATGCCAAAGCCCAGCTGACTGTTGCCCACTGAGCTTCATCAAGGCAGTTAGTGTTGAGGTAACCAGGGCTTGTCACTTCATACAGGAATTCCACACTGACCTTTGTCTCCAGTATTCATGGTTTTGCTATACAGCTCTGCATCACGTCAGGTTGTGTATTATAATGCCTGTGCTCTGTTGGCAATACACACCCACATTATAGCGCTGAAGTCTGTGAACACTATTGCACTGTCTCCATGACAGTGACTCAGTGAAGGTTGCTAGTCACTTGTGTTGGTGGATTTTCATGTACAGAGTGGGAGTTGCATAACAGACTGAATAGAGAGACAGTCTTTGGCAGTGCTCACAGTTTGAAATGAGAATCAACTTCGAGTCTGTGTAATGGAACAATTACAGAGCATGTGGTAGGAGATGGAGAGGTGGCTGTTTCTCTTCATCAGTCATATGAACACATTACATAATTGCTGTGGATCTCACTACAGCCCCAGCTGTGCATGAGGCTTGCATTTGTGAGAGGAGCAAAAAAAAAAAGATGTGACATGTACCTGTCCTGCTGACACAGACCTGAGAGAGAGAAAATCCCTCCATTTCATGTGAAGAGGCTCCTTGGTTTAGATGGGCTTGTGTACATTACATTGCATTGCAGGTCTTCCTTGATGCGCTCACCTGTTCCATTAGCCTGCAGGTTAGTGACTTGCACAGAAAGATTTAGCCCACATAAAATCTCTTTGTTGATGATCTGCCTGCTTAATAATGCCCAGATCTGATGACTCTTAGATAAAGGCTATCTAGGATTACATATTTTGAGGGTAAGTAATGCACAATGCTGTTGTCAGTTTTTCAGCAGCTTTGGAGTTTGTAGGCGTGCACAGAATCTGGCATAAAAGCTTTAGGAAAATGGAGCTTAGATAAGCAAGGCAGTGCTGTTTTTACATATAGGTTTAATTAAAAACCATACTCGTATTTAATACATTAATGCAAAGTTTTTGTTCTTTTGATTGCTAGCAAAATCTGTTACTTTCAAATTGCTTTAAGAGTGAGGTGGATGCTCTTTTCAGTAAATTGAAGAAATTTTTCTGATTGCACATCTGTTCTAGAGTTAAGAGACTAATCACAATTTAATTTGACTGTATTCTTATTTATCCAATTGTAGCTTTTACTCAGATTTGATGAATGGTCAGTTTCTCATACAGTGTTGCTGTCATGAGGGTACAGGAAAGGAAATTATTAACGACATGAAACAAAACAGGCCTTGAAGTAGTAAACTCTAACCTGTTGAATTCAAATAAACGGTGGGAGCAACATTAGGAATGCATGGAAGAACTTGTGTCTGGATCAATTTGGATTAAAGCCAATGCATGGCACAATATTTTGACAGTGCAGTTAGATTAAGGGATTTCTTTAAAAAATAAAATCAATTAGCAGCTGGTTTCTTTGCAGTGGCTGACTAAAGGTGTTAAACTGTATATTCAACTTGCACAGCGGGTGTCAATGGGTGACATGTTTGGAATCAGTAGTAGCTGTACTGTAGATAGGAGATAACTTCTTATATAGAAATATAGGTCACCCAGTGCGATGCTGAATTCTAGCCTGCAGTGATTCATTGCAGCATTGTTGTAACCTTGGCATGCTTGATGA